TTCCATGTTTATTGGAAGTACGCTCATACGACCCTTTTTACTCAATTGACTGATCATGAAATGTGAATCATATCCTATCAGGTTGTGAAATGCAATTGGAACAACAAAGAGTTTCTTGAAATTTATGTTACAGGGTGCTTGATGCGCCCACCCCCTGAACTCGCCTGAAAAGTGATTATGATCAGCTACGATAATGTCTTTCTCCCTGAATGGTTTCTCACAAATATGACAGATTTTTGCTTTGCATTTGTCAGGACTAACAGTCATTGGCACGATTGTTTTGATTTTAGATTGCACGATTTCAGCTATCTTCGACATTTCATTTGCAAACCAATCCATACAATCTTCACCCCTATGGCTATTGAAAAACGACAAGGAATCATCGAAATCACATTTAAAATAATAGCCTGCACTATGAGCCACATGTTTCTGATATTTGCTTGTTTTTGATGAAACCATATCATCCACATGTTCTAATTGACATTCAAAGTCTGCATAAATTATAAAGGGGGTGGTTTGTTGGTAGGTGAAATTTTTGAATTCTATGTGATCATATTTTGGAAATGAAACTTTGCATTGCTTCAATTCAGAACACAGCATTTCATGATCAATCAATTTTTGTTCACATTGAAAATAATTCATGCATCTGTCACAAATAAATTTTTTACCCATATGTTTATTCACTTGGTTTGATATTAATCTAGACATATCTTGAATCAAGCAGTAATGGTATTTGATGTCAGAATCTTCTTCATCAATCGGAGGAGCTTCATAATCATTTAATTTTGGATAATATTTGTTTTGAATTAGCAATAGATTAACGTGCCTTTCTAATTTATTTTTTGTAAGTCTGGCTGGCACCACAGTATAATATGATTTTTCCTTGACTAAATTCAACTCTAATGTGTATACATTCACGGAAATGTTATTGTCTTTTTCAAATTTTGGAATTTGACGTAGAGACATGGGTGCATCTAAATCTGCTGTTTTCAGAACTGTAGTGTAATATGGATATGAAGAAGTCAGTTCCCTATGTGTTTTCACTGGGTAGAAGGCACTTATGATTGACCAATAGAAACATGCCGAGTCAGTATTTTTTATATTCAAACATGCTCGCTTTTTCAAAATTTGTTCTGGAAGTCTAATAAAGGATGAACCATTTCCCATTTCAAGTTTGTTAATATTAACTTCCATTGATATTATTTTATGCAAAGCCCACCCAGAGTCACGTTCTTGAAATTCACTCAATTTATTCAAAATTTTGTCCTGAACATTATCATAGTACCAATGTTGTAAATCCGTTCCTACGTCCACAATGGCATTTTTAGTGTTGAAATATTTCAATTCGATAATTTCTGCATCGTCTGATTTCTTTATGAATTCTCCACAGAAATTAGTGTTCACTTTAATAATTGGAAATCCCTTCAATATATTTTTGATTTTATTTTTGAATAAAATGAATGCATCTATAAAAAATTGCTCCAAGTCCTTATGTGTTATATTGATGATTATTCCCGTTCTGATTCTACTTGAAAAACCTGATGCCACATCTCTCCATTGAACCCTATTTTTCAACTCAAGCCCTCTACTGTCTCGATGTCTATTTCGAATTAAATTGCGAAAATGCTTAAAATGACCAACATTCGTTTGAAACTTTCTCATCAAGCCTATGGACATCTTATTCTTATTAATTTCATTGTTACATAATCTTATGTACCTCTTCAAGCGATTTAACCAAATTTTTTCATCCCTATCAGTGAAATTATCAAACAAAATTTTCTTTAGTTTCCTAATGGTTATCACTAAGTTATCTGATTGTTTAGCGATATTCATCTTTACAAATGTATCTTGCGAAAAGTGACAAAGTAAAATGACTCACACTCTGATTCTCAATAGCTTATGATGTTGGTGATTGAGGTGCTGTTTCGACAATCTCAAACTGCTCGATGGGATGGAGTTGGCCGCAGTTTTTTCGTCCCTTGTAGACGAGAGCGTATTTTTTCAGTCCAAACTGCTCCACCGCAGGTTTGATGGCTTGGGTCGCTCTGCCTGGTAGAAACACCTTACAATCGTCCAACTCAACGAGTGGTGCTTCTCCGTATTTTCCCGGTTTAATTTGCACTCCGACAATGGGGTGTGGCACATCTAGGGGCAGTTGGCTCAGTTTCCTCAACACTTTCCTGTTGCATGACAACCCAACATTATTGATTGCATTCAGATCCATCTAAAAAGAAAAGATTGTGGAACTGGTCTTTTCATTTCAAATGGTTGAATTATGATGTGTACACGAAAAAATGAATCGATGAAAACGCGAAATGACATTCACTTTTCAATATGAAAAACATTGAAATGAATTATGAAATGTACACACACAAAAAAAATGAAGATATCAAGCAATAGTATTCGCTTTTAGAAATAAAAACAAAAAAAAGTGAATTACGGAAATTGCATCAAACATCAGGATCAAGCTTTAGTGAATATTAAGAAAAAAACTTACTTTCTTAGATATCGGCAGTTTTGGCACTACACAAGATTGCTATCAGATGTGACTAGGTGTTGATTTTATGTGGCTGTCTAACTGTAATGTGATACCTAAAAATCAGAGATCAAACAACATCAGTGAAAATCTCTTCATTTCAAATGTTTGAAATAGAATGAGTGAATTATGATGTGTACACGAAGAAATGAATCGATGAAAACACACAATGTCATTCACTTTTCAATATGAAAAACATCGAAATGAATTATGATATGTACACCAACAATGAAATAATTATTAAAGAAAACATATCATGCAATAGTATTCGCTCTTAGAAATAAAAACAAAAAAATTACTTAAAGAAATTGCATTACCAGGTGAATATAAAGAAAAAAAAACTTACTTTTATTAGGTATCAGCAGTTGGCACTACACAAGATTGCTATTAGATGTGACTAGGTGTTGATTTATGTGGATGTCGAACGTTGACTGAATTTTGTCAGAGCGCTCCGCTGTTATATATCAAGGTGGTAGAATGAAAACATAATGTTTCTCACATAATATGTTGTCTTCTGATAAGAGATTGTTTTTTCCCATTTCTTGTAAAATTTGTTTTTTCTTTCAAATGATAAACTTGTTTTTCTATTATAATATCTTCTTATCAGTAATTTCCTGTTATTTGATTCAATTCAACTTCAATACTTATTCATATTCCCGTTCAACGCTGGGAAAAAAATCGAAACTAGAGCTCTTGCCTTGTTTTTTCCATTTCTTGTAAAATTTGTTTTTTTCTTCCAAATGATAAACTTGTTATTCTATTGTAATATCTTCTTATCACTAATTTCCTGTTATTTGATCATATTCAACTTCAATACTTATTCATATTTTCTTTTGACGCTGGGAAAAAAAATCGAAACTAGCTCTACTATGTCATATCCAAAGAGACTATTTCATATGATATTTCCAACGCATTTAGAGCGATATCTTGTAAACCTTGAGACTTTGCATATAGGTAAGTTGCCATTTTTGGAACGTTCGCGAAAAATCCTTCTCTCAGAGTACCCACACTCCCCAATCCTTCAATATTTACCCCTAAAGTGGGGTAGTCTAACCGTGGGACACCCTGTATATATAATTTTCAATTTTTATTCAACTCAAACACCCTGTCACTGATGATGTCACGCCATCGCGCTCCCGCTACCCCGCATCCCCGCTAGAACACAGGCCGCGTTCCAGTTAAGATTAAAGCGTGTATTTCCCTATGCCTGTAGTCATGATGTCCTAGTTTCAATTAGAATTGCCTTCCGACACGTCAAGAACAGACGAATGGAGAACACTACATATTACTGGAATCTAGACTTCGATGGAATTTTCAAAATGTTCTTGGTTGATATGAAATCGACGTTTATGTTCCTAGGATATCTCCTGGTCTCAGATTCAGAATCCTATATATTTAATACTGATGGAAGAACTCCTTGAAAAATGGATGTGTCCTATTTTCCACTATGTATCACAGGTATTCAGTAGCTGTCGCTGTGCAGCAGAGATTTCGGAAATAAACCCAGCTCATGTTATAAGCACTTCAAGCATGATGCCCACAATATTATCCATGTTGATCATGATGTTTGTTTTCATCAACTCGGTTTATTTGATATAACATTTTTTTTTCTAGCTATTGAAGATTCGTTGATGACATGAATCAGCCTAATGGATCCTATAGTACTAATTGAGAACATCAGATACTCATGACATATGATAGGAGCTTCAATTTTTCTAGAAAATGGTTTTTTATTGATATTGCAGCATATGCACATTCTTGCAAACAAGTTTTTTCTTTAATTTCTCAATTGAGAATGAGACACGAAGAAATAGGGGTACTTCATATCATCGTTCTCCTACTCCCAGAAATTGTTTGTTGAACCAATGAGAGTTAATTCTTATTCCATAGCCGATATAATTGGATATTACAATATTATCATTGTGCGTTATTCTTGAAATTCATCGATATTTTCAAATCGATTTCACTTGAGAATGGATCGATTGATCAACATGAAACAGGAGTACTTTTTTCGAAAAAATGTTCTTTTGTTAATAATTTGAGAACTGATAGTCAGAAAATTGCATACAAAAAATAAGAGTATCATTCAGAGCAGCACCACCCAGTTTTGAATACTCATGAAATTTCATCATTTTATCTCACGACGTATCAGAAATACTCAGGAAATAACATCTTCAGAAGCCCCCACAGAGGTGGCCGTAGATCCCATAGGAGCCATTTGGAGACTCATGTTCATTCAAACTTTTCTATCTATTTGCTGGTGCAGTTTGCTAGGCTAATCATGGGACACCGTTTATAGTGAGACTGAAATTGTCAACATTTATGGTGAAAATGAATTCAGAAATGGTGACGATTCATTCAATTAACAATGTTGATGTGTCGTGTGCAGCGTGCCGCAAATTATCAATAAAGTATCTATCACCCTATATCTCAATTTCTCTATGAACAAGAAATATTCACTAACCTTCTTGAATGCGTAAACTCCATATCCCATTATACCTCCAGCCATCACCATATGAGTGAACATGAATAAACCAAAGGATTTATTGAATGCGTCTTCTAATCTGGAAGAAATAAAACAGTTTATATGCTTTTTGTCCTCAAGATCTTGATATGATGATATCAACTCTGAATCATACTGAAGTTCATCGATCATCTCTCAATGATGCCTGCTGAGCAGAACCTCCGTTTATAATTCTTTATGCCGAAAATAACTTGAACCCTCTTTCATATAGGTTAAACTGATTTCTTACTATTGACTAAGCAAGAAAACAGTGACGTTACTCTGGATAATGATTATTGATCTGCACTTGGAAATCAACTAGAATGAAATAAAATACTCCCATAAACCTATAGAACGAGACGGTAATAATAGTCAGTGACTCATTCTCAGCTTCATGGTGTTCAAGAGATAGTCCATGTGCCAGACCCATCAGTCATTATAATTTGGGAGGACTGAATGCAACTCATACCACGTGTTACTAGGGTCATATTGTACAAAAGAGTCAGGGGGGGGGCATCATGAGGAGGTAGCTTTCAGATATGGCGGCCGTTCAAAATGGCGGACGAATGTGAATATGTGAATGCAATTATCTCAGGATGAGGTGGATCAAATTCGAATCTCTTTCACTCAAAATATAGGATATTCTGCTAGCTTCATTGCTTCATTCTTGTTGCTTATACTCAAGGCTGAAAAATCAATATTTATGTGCCAAAATTCAAAAAATCGAAAAATAAGGTTTTTGAAATTTACGTTATGTCGTTTATTGGACTAACGGTTGAGTATATCGGAAATGTAATGAAGATAGAAGTTGTAGAGGAATATCTTAGCTTCAGAACATTGGCAAGAAATCAAAGATCGGATCAAGAGAACGCAAAATATCCAGATTGAAAGCGGGCGGAGCAGAGTTGAGCGCGTTGACCGAGCCCTCAATTCTGCCTATCAGGAAGCGTACAATCGACCACTAGATGGTTTCATATCACCTAATGAGGTGCATTATTTTTGTAACATGATTTTCAATCACCTAAACTAATAACTATCATCAACAATAATTATATAATTTATCTGGATATGGATAAAGTGAGGTAATTGAATGACGAAAGAAGTAGAACAACTTAGGTAGATATCGAAAACATTGAACAAAACAATCAAACAATAAGAAATTAGAACTACTTATGCATGCCTTACATAAATATTACTAAATAATTTGGATTCAATCTTCCTCACTAGAATCACTATTATAGTTATTATAATTACACTCTTCCTCATCTGCTGTTTCTTTGGTACACCCCTTGCACCCACAGCTCTCGGTGCATCGGATTTGAGTTGCTAAGCACGAGCAAGTTTCTGGTGCACAAATGCTCTTGCAGTGGCACCGCAGGAAGGAGAGTTCGCACTCCGGTGCTGGCAAGCCTTCCATTCACTTGACAGATAAGTCACCTGTCCTTTTCCCACCCATGAGAGAAAGGATCCGGAATTAGCGGTTTGGTTTCCAGGCTCCTGAGCCAAATTCCGGCTTGATAGTTAGCACGTTTATTGTGATGACTCAAAGTGTCTTTACAAGAAGGCATCTGGAAGCTTTCAATTTGACCCTTCTTTCCTCTGAACATCTGATAGCGCAGCTCATCAACAGATTTAACCTTGCATTGGGGGGCATACAACTGGCAAACGAATTCTTCTATGATGTTATCAACGATATCAGACAGCACCCAATCTCTGCCTTATTTGCTGAACGCTTCAATAAATTATTGAAGTATGTGAAGGACCTTTATCTGCGGCGCGAACAATTCTTTTAAGATTTTTTTTGTGGACGAAACTTTTGCGATATTCTTTATGGTAGTGAATATCAGGAATTTCTCGGTGAGTTAACGTCTCTTTCAGTTCCATTATGGGTTCAAATTTTCTCAGTACCGTAGCATTGTACAAAGTGTTCCATGAATCCAAGTCTTTCGATTGGTGTAGATTAACAGGCGTAGAACTTCCACAAATTATGCAGGTTCGGTCAATTTTCAACTCTTTTCGTGCATGATCAATGTTTCCCCAGAAGAAATGACACTACTGCCTAGAATAATATTGATTGTGCTACAATTGGATTATGCAGAACTCATTGGCAATGTTATTGTTGCCAGACAAGTTTTGACAAGTTTATGCAACTATTAAGTAATTATTGTACAATATTGTTCGGTCTGATTCACGTGTTTTTATAGAAATGTTTTTCTAACTATGGGAACTCAAACGCTGAAAAATTTCAGATTTTTCACACCTCCTGTCCACAAAAAAATTATTCGTTCTTGAGGTTTTACATGGTAATGAAAACGCGTCTTATTAGTCGAACACCTGAAACAGACTGAACAATATTTCACTAAATAGTTGGTCAAACGTGTCAAGACTTGTCTGGCACCAATAACATCGCCTATAAGGTCCGCGTAATTTAACAATAACACAATTCCCAGAATAGAACTTTGAAAACATCCCTTTAGATCATAAAAATGTGTGGGGAATATGAAAGATAGATGAATGAATAAATTATTGTTTTTCCAGAATTTAATTTCACGATATTATAAGGCTGTGATAAAATAAAATTTTCAATTTTCATTCGATTCTTCGATAAATAATATCCTATTTTTCGTCATTATATCGTAAAATTCAATAAATAATGACTATCACCTTCGTTTTGATAATGATATTCATGTTACAAATAGTGCACATTAGTAGGTCAAGTGAAGTTAACTTGTAATGAAGCGATTACTTACTATGAAGATGAATACACGCGCTCAACTTCGCCCCGCTCGCTTTCAATCTAGATATCTCGGGTTCTATTGATCCGATCTTCGATATTTGCTGTATTTGAGGGTAAGATACTCCTCTACAACTTTCATCTCGTACATTTTTTTTATATACCCAACCATCACTCCAATACACCGTAAAGCGTAAGTTTCAAAAACCTAATTTTTTGATTTTTCGAGTTTCGACACATAAATACTAATTTTCTGGCTATTGATCAGGGGATCAATAATATAGCCAACAAAATATGCTACGTTTTGACAAAAAGAAATACAAGATTGATTGACTCAGTCCTGAGATAATTCAATTCACATATTCACATTTGTCCGCCATTTTGAACGGCCGCCATATTTGAAAGCTACCTCATCATGATGGCCCCCCCGACTCTTTCGCTACCAATGACCCCAGCAATACGTGGTATAAGTTTCATTCAGTCCCCCCAAATTATAATGACTTGGTCGATTTAAGGGGTCTGGCACAAAGACTAAGAGGGCGAGGAAAGGAAAAGAAAAACACCAGTGGTGGAAACAATCTTGTCTAGAATTAAGTTTCATAATAACAATGATGGATTGATAATCAGAAGACTAATAGTGCGAATAAATAGCCACTTTGATCCACATCTCATGAATTCTATACAAAGCTTCTGCATCTTCCGAGGATCTGAAAAAATTGATGCACAAAACGAAAACTATTTTCAAATATATCGGACAGAATAAGTTACTACACTCGACATAAAGAATCATGAATAAACAGATTATGAATATAATTTTGTGTTCATCGCTCGTTATCTAAGGTTGGATTAGAATTGATCTTCATGTAGTGTTCGACGGAGTTCCATCTGACCCTCTTATCATAATTACTAGTGGTCCGCAAGGATCAAATCTAGTACCAACACTATTTTTACTCCATACCAACGATTTTTGTTAGTACACAGCTTCCGGGATGATGGTACCCTTCATACCGCCTTCTCTTCCAGGACTTCAGTACCAGCCAGGCAAATCAGAAACGAATGGGGGAGAATTTTGACAACATATATCCATAGACACAATGCGGCATTGCGAGTGCTTTACTATCATTTGAAGCACTCGTACGTAATAGACGAGACTTCAGTGCTGCCCTATGCTCCAAGGGATGTTGAGTCCGTTGTGGAGAATGAGAGGTACCGAATTTATTGGAACTCCTCATTCCCACATTCAGGCGGATACAAGCTAACAAGCCTGATGTATTTCTCCTCGACCATCAAACCAGAGCGATGTTCGTGATCGAGTTTTTGGCGCCAGTCGAACCAAACATCTTTTTGAAGGAGGAGGAGAAACGGACTAAAAATTGAGATCTCCTCTCCGACCTCCGCAGGTTCTATCCAGATCATCCTGTGGAATTGGTCATCCTGAAAATTGGCTCCCTAGGAGGTACACGACATACGCTTACCTCGAAAATACCGAAAATTTCAGCGTGCAGTGCTAAGGCACACGTTCTGGCTGGTGGAATGCAGAAGGCCATCATACTAGGATCATTGCGCCTACTCAGGACGCACGGTTCTTGGTCCCAGTGATTTTCCACCTCGCAGGCTGTGGAGAGTAGTCACTGGATTCTATCCAGCACGAAGGCCGCAGGGTCGTGACTGGATTGATATAATCTCAAATAATAATATTCGTCAGAACTGTCGGGAGAAACAAAGTCGCTGCTACTATTATGCATGCTGTTGCGATCCTACTTTACTCTTTAGAGTGATAAAGTGGACTCAAGTCGAGCTGCGACCACTTGACGTGAGTACTCGCAAGATGATGCATCTCCATAGGAGTATGCATCCGAATTCGTCCGTTCCACGGTAATACATACCTAGAGACCAGGGTGGCCGCAGACTCTTGAGCTTGCAAGTGGTTGAAATCCATAAAGAGGCAGGAGTAGGAGTTCTTTTCTTCAGGGCAGCAAGTCCAGCAGCCGATGTATTGTCTCTGATTTTCGTTTCCGAGCGCGAGGCTCAGGACTCAAATACTGAGCTAGAGCTCGCTAGGAGGAAGGACCGCATCAAAGCTGTAGAAGTGGGGAAGCAGCTTCACATGGATAAGCTCATGCATTCGGTCTACTTCAAGACCACTGAAGACCGAAACTTATCCAATGAACTGACTTCTGCTTTTCTCAAGTCAGGCGGGCTCGAATCGAAAACATAAAGGTTCATCATGGCATGTCAGGATGGGGTGCTTGACACTCTGGTCTACCGTAGTCGTGTCATGGGTATGGAG